ATATTGTCCAGAGTGGCTTTAATGTTCCTGGGTTTCAGTGAGCAGTGCCTTTCAATAACTAAAGTAAATACTGCTCAAAAATGCGTGATCCAAGTGTAACGGAGAGAATATTCAGAGCAGGTCCTGGCTGCATGAAATGCTGACACTGAGCTGATGTGACAAACTGAGAACTTTTCTCCCATTTCTGTGTGTTTATCTGCACTGAGCTGTGTCATGAGGGAAGTCATGCCAGGTGAAGAATGTAGAGATTTCCCAGATGTGAGGACAAGGAGATAGAACAGATGTGGCTCCTTTGCTGCCTGTAATGCATCTATAAATGCACTAGCAACTTCCTAGCAATATTCTACCAGAATTATATTTAAAAAACCACAACCAAACTGCATCATAAWAAAGTAGAGAAAAAGGTAATTTAGWATAAGAACAAGKGAACAGACCCCAGGGTTTAATGAGCTAAGTTAGTTGAGTTAGCACAGCATATTTCCAATGAATTTACTGGACACTGATAATTCATTCATGGTGCATTTACTCCTCTGCCTGTTCATTGTTTGTTCTTTTTGGTTTGGTGTTTTTTTTAAATAGGAGTAGTGGTTAATGGGCTAGAGTGGGGATCAGGAGATCTGCACCAAAGCTTTTGCTCTGCTGTGGATTTCCCCCATTACTTTAAATAGTATTTTTATCTTTTAAACACCCCTGCGCTGAGAGCTATTATTTGGAAATGTAAGTTTGAGAAGATATTGGAGACAGTCTAGCTACGGCAGCATCTGCAGAAAAACTTGTTCAGAGCAAGTATCTTTGGTGTCTTTGCAATGAATGGGTATCTGCAGGACCTTCTGCAAGTAACATTCATCAGAATATTTGTAGCCCTAAATCAGAATGATTCTAGGGTTTGAGAGCATTCTGATTCAAAAATGATGTATTGTTGGCTGGAAAATGGTTAAAAAAAAAATAGTGTGTTGATTACAGCAGATAATGACTCAGGATAAGCAATTTATTGTATTTCAAACACTGTGAAAGAAAGAATGGTTTCTGGGGCCATGAAGGGAAAGAACAACTTGGGTTGGTTCACCTGTTGTTCTGTGTACAGAATCAACATTTCCTGCACTAAGATGAAACCTGTAATTTAGCTGCTGTTCAAAGACAGAAAGGSACATTGATCTTGACATTCAGGCTACTTATAAATATGCAAATTTAAATGCCTAATTTTATATGCTMCTTTAATTGTATGGGATAAGGTTATAGATAATGCTCCCATACTGAGACAAAGGTCTTACTGTAAGTAGGAATGGGTATAAATGAAACTCTTGGCTAAATGTTCAGGAAAAGTGGAAGGTGAGCTGGGGGCACACAGGAATAGGATCTGTTCAAGGGCACCAAATTCAGGCCTGAATTTCCCATCTATSAGGAATAGTGAATATCTTTTAATACAAGAGCCAGGTACACTGTTGCTGTGTTAACAGGTAAAAGTGGTATGAAGAGCAGATACACAGTGCAGTCTGCTGTGTAATGCCCATCAGGGACTAAATACTGAGGGGCATAAGTTGAAAAGCAATTATCTTCAAATAACATGCACAAACACACTCTATCCTCATTCTCCAGCAACAATTCCATTTAAATAACAACATCTCAAAGCACAAAAGCAAAGTAAAGCCATATGAAAGTCTCTTTCAGGGCTGACTGCATCACCCCAATCCTTTTGCTTTGCCTCTTCACGGAACTTTTTTCCATGACRTGGAGATGAAGAATTAATCATCCCATTACATAAAATACGTACTCCACAGGGAAGATGCATAAAGCACACAAGAGAAGGATGGATTTTTTGTAGAGTAAGGTCACCCTCAGGGGGTGAGAGCACAGGGAAAAGTGCTCACCGAGTAATTACTATTTCAGGATCCTCYGGAGAATTGTGGGCTTGATACCGTCTGAAAGAGCCTATGATTTTCAATTAATTCTTTGCTCCTGTAGATTGGTAATTACCTCAGTATGTGTTGGGGTGTTGGTTTGCACTAACCTCAGCAGGGAGCACAGGAACTGGAAATGGTCTCATTTGCCTCATGGTCAATGACTGCCACAGGTATGAAGCCCAGACAGGGCTCTCCTGAACTGGTTATCAAGAGCAGGAGGTTCTCAGATTTGAGGAAGACATCTCCTGCCAGGTTGGGAAGAGAGACAAGCAGAAAGCAAGCCTCAAGCTTATAGTCTTCTTACCTGTTTCTAGTTAGATCTGAAAATGCCTGTCAGTGTCCTGCTGACCAGGTGATGCTGGCAGGCTGAAACCARTGCTGGAGTGCACTGTGCACTGAGATTTAGGGGACAGAAGCAAATGTTATGTAAATTCAGTACCAGCTGAGGTAGCAGGTACCATCAAGGAAACTAAGATATGATGAGCAAAATGAAAGATGAGAAGATTTTTGAGTTAAGAAAAGGGATGGAAAAGAGGATATTTTAAGGTGTATTGGGTTATAAAGGCTTCACCATGGTTTAATTACTGCAAACTAAATCTCTGCACTAGTTTTTTAAACACGTTCTATAGTTTTGATTAAGTAATTAGGGAGTTTGATGTAGAATACAAGGATTTTAGAATTTAAAGTATTCTGGAGAGTGTATAGGCAGGGGAGACTTTTTTCTCAGGTGTCTCCATATTGTATAATGATTAACCTTGAGTGAAATGTTACCGGAAGAACTGAGAGTGTTTATTCACGAGTCACAAGCATGAAACCTGACCCAAAAGCTCTTGGAAAAAAACTCTGCAAGAAGAGAATTCTGCCAGTGTGAAGCCTGTAGCACTTGRGTCAAAATGAGCATTCAGGGATCAGGTAAGGTAAAGCAGAACACCTATCTCTTAAAAGGACAGACGTAMTGAGCAATATCCATAGAAATAAGGATAATTTCTGTGTTACAATGTGGTGRAGAGATAATGCAGCTGCATTCAGGTTATGTGTGGCATTAAGTTTCAGATTTCTMACTGAAAGATCTTGAAAGAAATGAAAATATAATATGAAAAAATGAATACAGCTGTCCTCATAGTGGTTTCTTCTCCCATCATTCACTGTGTAAACTTATGGCTGCCTGAATGCAGTGTCATGGGATTTTCATACAAAGGACAAATACAACCCTACGAGAAAGATAAATCATGCTCGCTCTCTCTTGAGACAGCAATTGGATTGGTTATAGAGCTGGGAAAAAACCCAATCTTCCAGGTTAGCACCAGTGWAGAACGTGCTCCAAGAAGTCTTAAAGAAATGCATGAGAGCTGTTAACACTGTTCTGTTGGGAGAGTCCTTCAGCTTTTTGAGTTATAAGGAGTAAGTCTATCCTAAATAACATAAACTACCTAAAATCTCTTCAAAAGCTTGTCTACACCAACATGAATACTGAATAAGCAATATAAACTGCATTGGTAGCTTGCATTTGGTAGCAATCTAGTTGGTTATTAATGAGTCAGTATATTTTGCTCAGTGGGGCACAAAGACGCATTTAATCTTGAAATATCATTAGTGTAGTGTTATTTTGTGGCACATTTCAGCTCAAAGATTACTGCATTCACTTCATCTTGAGTAGAGGGTCTAATCCATCAGTTGGTGCCATCTCATTATAGTTCCATCAGAGGCACCTAATGACTATGGATACCTAATACAAGTTTGTAGGTGATTTCAAAATCTGGCTCAATGCACTTGGGAGGCATGCACAGCTCTCTTAGATCTGAGAAAATTAAGAAGAAAAGTAGAATGAAGAGGAGCAAAAAAAAGGAAACAATTAGAAAGAGTAACTCTGTGGCTGCTGGAAGTGAGTATTTTAAAATKAAATATAAGTAAATTATTCCATAATTAAATATTTAGATAATCATTTATGAATGAATATGCATTTTCTTTTACAAGTATGAAACCACATAACAATTATAATTATGTCTATTTATATCTATCTCTATATTACCAATTTTATCTACAGATTAATGTTTATATACACTATATACACAAACAGAGGTGGATATAAATGTACACATTCTTAGAAWGTGTAAATACATGAGAATTGCATTTTTTTCATCACTAAATACAGACAACTCCATGCTGGAATTAATTTTCTATTGTAGCTGCACAAAAAATAYTCAGAAAAAGAAGAAGTGACTATTGAGTCAAGGGAAAGGCAGAATATTACACTGAAATAAGATATACTGCTATTGTCAAAGTACTGCAGAAATGTCAATGCAGTTACAAATAACCTGACGCAGTCCAGTTTCTTACTTTCATTAGAGATTACAATTCTGTGAGAGTAAAATTTATCTCTATTGCAAATTTTGCTGGTTGGTGTAGGCTGGATGTTAAATCAAAATAAAACAAGCAGAACTGCTGGGAGGGTGGTGATTACCTTTGTTTTACACTTAGAAGTGACCCCCACTATCCAGCTGATTTGCAGAGGTTGATCATTTATTTATTCTTTCTGGTTRCAGTTTCCTGAAAACATGAACTATCTAAGTGTCTCTATCTAAATCTGGGAAATGGTTATCACTTCTCTATCATAATATAAATATATCTGACTTCTGCTACAAACTCAGTAGTTTGTACCAGAACAAATTACCCAGAAAAACTATGCAGTCTCCATCTGTGCAAGTTTGCAAGGCTCAGCTGGGCAAGAGCACCGTCTTTCTGCTCTCAGGCTGGTAAGAGACCTGCTCAGAGCAGAAAAATGGTCTTGAGACACCCAGAGAGGTCGCTTACAAACACAGCTTCTATGATTCTATAAATATGTTTGACTTGTGCTACAAACACTCCAAATAGTGGGAAAAAAACCCACTCCAAACTTGTTAAAATATTATAATAATTTCAGCTGGGGAATTCTGAATRTTTTCAATTTCTTGTTAATTTATTCCTGAGCTCTGAAGTGTTTGAAAATCCTGAAAATAAATGTCTGACTCAGAGAAGACATTTTCTGTAAAAAACTACCAAATTTACAAATGATTTCTTTGAGACTAGGAATTTTACACCAAAATGAAAGCAAAGGCTGTCATAATTTAGAATGAATGCCAGTGCAATGCCAGATTGCACCATAAGTGAATAAACAGGGGATGATGGCAACAGAGCAACAGTATAATTATCTCAGTTTAGCATTTTCAGGATTTTACATCAGTAACTCTAGCAGGAAACACACAGCTCTTCTTTTTGGCCACATCAGTATGCAACCGGCACTGAAGAGATCAGCAATAACCAGTGAGCTGAAAAAAACAGTTTTCCATGCACACATCTGCTAATCTGAGGCAGAAGGTATTTGGCTTCATACGTCTGGAGTTTGGTGAGAGTTCCTGGTAGCATTCAGTGAAGAGCAGCCCCCTTACTCATCACCTTTGTTCCGCAGAGTAAACCCGCAGCAAATGTTTAGAAAATGGATGTGAATAWCTTAGTCTTGGGAAGAGCTAAAAGAACATTGTTCTGAGGCTTTATTCGAGCCTTTGGATATGCAACACTTCTTCTCAGTAAGAATGGCCTGAAAATACAGTTAAGGACATTTCCAAAGATTGCTTTTATATGAGCCAAACCATGACTTTGTTATAAACTCACACACAGCCTAAAGTAGCAATGTTAATATCTGAGGCTTTTCTTTAGTAAAGGAGTCTATTCTAAAAAGGGTGGGAAAATAAATTTGTAAGTGGGATTTCAAACTGCCCTATTGTGTCCTGTAAGTGTTAGAGTCTTTATTGTTTGGTAAATGTATTAAAAAAAAAAAAAAAAAAAAAGGCACTGAGGTTAATGGGATGTTTTCCTGAGTAGAAAGTCGGAAAGGGTGGTGCAGGACACCTGAGAGCTTCATCTCTAAAACTATTGGTGCAACTGAAGTTCTTCAGGATAGGATTTCGGATGCCTCAACTGACAAGATGTGTAATAATACTCATGTGCTATTCCACAAGAAATTTAGCTTTGTAACTATGACTACCTTGATAGAGTACTGGAGGAAGAAAGAATCCATTTGTATGCAAAAGTGGGAAAACATGGTTTATTTTCATGAATTTGAAGTAACTAGAAAACTCACCCAGCTTGCTGTAGCCTCTGTAGTCTACCATGTTCATAATGCATGATATCACAGTAAATTATCTCATAACTCACTCAAAGTTCAGTTCAGTATTACTTAACTGACCACACTTTGTTTGCTGCAAAATCCTTCTATTTGTTTTGGTGTTGTTTTTTGAAGAAATTGAATTTGAGTGATGCTTTGTTGGCAGATATATTTGTCTCCCAGGGCCATGAGTTGCATGGGTGTAAGYGAGGGCAGAGCTTGGCTCTAAATGACTAAAGTGCTATGCTCCCCTGGCTGGAGATGCTGAGGTAGTATATAAAAWTAACACAGAGCATGAAAGCTTCATAAATAGCAGAAAGAAGGGTCTGAGCCAGCCTARCATGTTTCCTGCTTCCCAAGGGCCTGCAGAGAGGTTTCTGCACCYTCAGCTGGCCCTGCTTAGCTGGAGCACATAGCCCAGCTCTGAGGTTGGGTGCAGGGCTGGGCAGGTGCCACACTCAGAAAGCAGCAGCAATTCCCTGCTGACCGAACAGACTGTGCTGGCACTGCATGGAAAAGGGTGGGATGGACTGTGAGTGTGGGTGCAGGGATGCTGGTGGTGAGGGGCCCCAATATTGCTCACCATATTCCAGCATTGTGCCCATGCTCACTGCAATTTTCCTGCAATGTGACAAGCAGATGGATCTTCCACRTTTTGAGGGAGTTATAGCTTCTATGGTATATTGTCATGGTAGCAATGAGATAACCTCCCTGGACAGTTCAGTCTTTACAACCATACACACTGCCTCATAGAGCATTTCTGTTTTCATTCATCATACCTATAGAATGTTTCAGAATGTGTGACTTTTAGGTAAACTGAAAATGGAAAAAAAAGAACAAGTTGGGTTCAATATAGAAGAGAGGCAGTTTAATGAGAGAGAAAAGCTAACACTGCAGTTCTTAAAGCACAGGGGAAATTTAAGCATGGAGTACCAGAAATGGGATTTCAGCCTTTGTTCTTAATWCGTGTTGCATCTAACAATTCCATTTGTTCCACTGTTCTTCAGAGCCAGAACTAAGCAAATAGCTTGCAATAAATAATTTAGGCTTTGAATTTAACCTTCATTCCTGCTCATGGAGTCCCAATGTGCTGGTTGCACTGATTTCAAACTTATTKGTAATTCAAGATCATACAGCTTTTAGGGATGAAGGGAAGTTGGAGATATTTATTATTGAGATGTGCCAGTGTGATATGACACTCCCAACTGATCACAAGGTACTGCTTATTTTCTCTGATCTGATGGTTGCAGTGGGACAGTGAGGAGAGAAAGTGAAAGTTGTCATTTGAGATGAAACATAAATTTCTCCTTTTGAAAAGATTAACATCTTGATATTTTTGATTGGAAAGGTTGACATGGAGTTAGTACAAGAGACAGACAAGACTTTTTCTGACTGAGGCAGTAATTCTAGGTGCTCTGTCTAGGTTTGCATCTGAAGGGAACACTTTAAAACAGGGCATCCTAAGACCTCTTCCAAAATAAATTTCATCTTCTGTATTGCATTGTGAAATGGACTTTTATGTCAATGAGGAAAGTTCAGGATTCTTTGATGCCTCCACTACAAAAAGAGGCCAAAACCAGGTCACTTTGGCTTGCGTTTTTTATCAGTCCACCATTCCTAGCTCTGATAAAACATGTGGCTATGATTTCAACCCAAGAGACTGTTGGCTTTGCCTCAGACAGGGCCATTTTTTTACAATAAGGAGTTACAAAAACCTGGCTGAGAAAATGCCACAAAAGAGTTTCTCATACTGCAGCTCAAAGCATGCACA